CCTCCTCTCCTTCCAGTTCCACCTCCACTTTTCCTCTCCCCCAGATTGCTGCTTCTCCATTTCTCTTCAGAAAAGAGCAGGCCTCACAGGGATATCATGGCACAACAAGATTCAGTAAGATTAGGCACAAACCCTTATATCAAGGCTGGACAAGACAACTAAGGGCAGGCAAAAGAATCAGAGTTACCCCCAAGTCCCACTGTCAGGGGTCCCACAAAAACCCAAGCTAAACAACCATAAGGTATATGTAGAGGACCTACCTCAGGCTCTGTGATTGCCTTTAGTCACTATGAGCCCTGTTTAGCTGATTTTGTGGGCTGTGTTTTCTGGAGTCCTCAACCCCTCTGGTTCCTATAATCCTTACCATCCTCTCCACCTTCGGCAGGTTTCCCTGAGCTCCACCTAATGCTTGAGTGTGGGTCTCTACATCTGCTTCTATCACCTGCTAGAGGAAATCTTTTAGGTGATGATTGGGATGGGCACCAATCCATGAGTAAGACAAAATATCATTGGGCATGGAATGTCTGTCCAAGGGAACCAAGAGAGTGGGGGAAGGTCCATGTGTGGATGGCCTACCTGAGCTATGGGCAGATGTGGTCAATAGTCAATTTTTTAAAGAATTAATTCCAGTTATTTACATGAGAGAAAATGATCACTAAATATTTGACAAAACTAATCTTAAAACTTTGCTTTTTGATGAATAAGATAGTGACTTTTTATGTCTTTTTTCAATACTTTATGATTAATAACCTATCAGTCAACTAACATTCCTTAGGCTAAGTTAAATCATTTTAAATTGACCTCTACTATCAATTTTATATGATTTCCAGATTGTTGTAAAGTCCATTGAGCATAACATAAATGCATTATTGTCAAGAGTATCTATATCAACATAATATTCCAGTTCTTTCTTGATTTGTCTATTTACTATACTCTTTCTATAGTCATTAGTAATGTGTCAATTAGTTGATAAAGTCACCATTTCAGCTTACACTTTTTTTAGAGTATGCTGAGCTTTGAAAATATTGGTTGAACTTGTTTGGATTCAACTGCATATGTTGGGTCTAGGTGAGTTTGTGTTCTGTTCATGCGATTACTCTGCTGGTAACGGCTACCAGCAAGATATTCTTTCTAAGGCTGGAGAAGAAACATAATAGGTCACATTTAACCTGAGAGCACCCTTGATGCTGCTGCTTTCTTCCAACTTGCTCAGTCATAAAGCCAAGTCAAACATCAAAAGAGCTGAATGTTTACTCCTGGGGCTCAAGTGGCCCTCTCTGTAATGTACTTTGGCAAGAAGCAGAAGTATAGAAACAAGAATTCAAACTACCATTGTCATGTCTGCCAACTATTTATATTAATGATTTCTAAATTTTTCTTATTTTAGTTCATTAATATAATCATTTTCCTCTTTTTCTTTCCTTTTTTTGCAATATGCAATCAAGGCAGGCTAGAAATTATCTACATAGTCCAGGATGGCCCTCCTATCTCAGTCTTCCAAGCACACTGGTCACCAGCATGTGCCGCTTTACAGACCAGATCAAGATCTTCTTCTATTGTTTCTTTGCTCACAATGCTCTCCTCTCCCCCACTTGCATCACCTTTTCCAGAGTCTGTAGCATATTTAGAGTGGGGTTTTGTGTAAGCCTTTAAGTTTTAAACTCCCACTTTTGGGAGCGATCAACCCGTGTGCTGCATTCAGTAAATGCCAGCTGTGTTCTCAGCCTATGGGCTCAGAAGTTTTTACCAACAAGGAAAAACATAGCCATGAAAGGTGTGTTCTTAACAAACAGGGCTCTTCTAGGTACCTGCTGAGCTCCTTCTAACAGGAGTAGAGAGGGGACATGGTGTCTTGAGTAATCATGGACTGATGGCCCATGAGTAGCCAAGATACCAACCAGAGAGTGACTGGAAATGATCTGGGCCCACTCTGTTGTGGGGAAAGCAAACTTCTCAGGTTGTTTGGTAAGATAAAAGGTTTCAGTGAGTGGATGTGAGCTTGGAGGAAGTCAGGCATGAAAGGTCATGTCAGGGCTCCGGCCACTTGATCAGCCTCCGAGTGCAAGCCCTGGATTCTCTGGAAACCCAAGCTCAAGGAGCCTCAGCCTGGTCTGTTAGTGCCAGACTTCTTTCCTTACTCTCTCACTGGGTCCTTGTTATGTTCCCAGACTGGGTTTCTGCTCTGGGGACAAGTGAACTGTATGCAGTTCCTGCCCAAGGAAAGTATCAACACTGGTGAGGTGGGCCAGTGAAGCCAGAAGAGCTGCTTCAAGGACATGCTGATGAGGGTTCGCCTGTTTCACAGATCTTTCTTGAGCATTGACACTTTGGGGGCACTCTACCAGGTGGGCAGGTTACCAATAAGCTAGCTGGGGTCCTCTTTCCACTTAGTGTGGAAACCATGGGCAGACAGGGTAAAGCCCTTTTAGTGCCTGCAATCCTCTGTCCTTAGCATCCAAGAACTAGCATATAGATGGGCAGACCAGAGCCTTAAGACTTCAAACCCTGAAGGGTGGGGGTCTGTTACTGTAGACTCTAGAAGCAAGAGACTTATGGCTTATCACTCTGGGCTTTAACCATCAGAGGGGCCAACACCAGCTATTGTCAGTTTTTGGCTTCTAGCAGCATTGTCTACTTCATTTAGCAGCAAACAGAAGTAGCTTAGATCTTCTCATATTACAGTGCTCATACAGGTCCCATAGCAACATACAAGCCCAGTATGTCAGGACCCTGAGCCATTGATAGCAACTAGTGTTTCAGTTCTCAGATTTACAGTGTCTGGGATCCTTGGCCATGAAGGCTTAGTAGTTCATTGAAACCCTCCCAATGACCAGAGCCTACAGTGGCTCATCTTCAGCTCTTTACAGACCTAGTTGTCTCCATTGTCTCTGCTCTGAGTCATCTCTGCCCACGTTCCTCTCTGGGTTGCTTCTGTTGCCTCCCATTACTATTGCTATTGCCACAACTTTGCTACCAATGTTGCAGCCATGCCTTCCTTCATCCTAGTCCTCGCCTTCTGCCTTTGTGTTACCAGCTCAGCACACTATAGTAATGAATGATAAAAATGAAAAGAAGGCAAGAAGAGAACACTGGATTAAAGCCCTTACTGAAACAGCAGGGGAGGCTGTGAAGGACAGTGCTTTCCAGTTGGCCCACAAATCTGGCTTAAATAGTCAAAAGGGTGTGTAAAAATGGTTCTTTAGACAAATGAAGCGCGTGGCTTGCAGTAATCAGCACAATCCCTCATACAGATAAGGCATTACATTTATTCCAATCACAATGGTCCTTAGTATATTTACCCTATCACAGGCCTTCTACTGAGTCACCATGAAAAGTGGTCCCCACCTAGCCTGAGTAGAAATGGTTATAGGGTATCACCTAGACTTACAGCAAAAAGGAGCTATGTGAAGCCGTCATAGCTAAGAGCATGCCTTGAGATTCAGAGTTGTGGCTCAGCAGCAAACATATGTGGTTGCAATGTCACTTCTTCAAGCTTATGCTGGTATCATGAAAGTTCTTCTGGGCATTTATTTGTCTTATAGTCCATGGCTTAGGGAACAACCATGGAGGGGAAGATCTGCCAATTAGGGAATCAAGTTATCCTACTACCCAATATCTTAGCTTATTTAAAATAAAATAAACATTAAAAGTGGTACTTATTAACAGTATTTATAATGCTGTAACAATATTTACCTTCTGCCCCAGTGCCCCAGGGAGAGGTTTGTTCTCCACAGCATCAAGAGAACAAAACTCCTATTCATTCACTATCATTTAAAATGTGTGAAGTAGGTAGAAACAAGAGGATTTCAGAGAGTTCAAGGACAGCCTGGTCTACATAGTGACCTGGACTATATAGAGACCTTGTCTCAAAACAACCAACCAACCAACCAACCGACCGACCGACCAACCAAACAAACAAACATCATCAACAACAAAAGAGATTTGGGGTAGTCAATAAATAGGCAACCGAAGAAACAATTTCACATACGGGCAAATAATAAGCAAAAATAGAATTAAAATTTATCAACATAGTAGCTACTCATAATTGAGTGGTTAGGAAAGCCCCTTACCCTAAGCTATCTCAGCTGAAATCTATATAACAACCAACACATAGAGACAGAAGGAACACCTGAGCCGAGCAGACAGTGGTGCCAATGGTCGCATTCAGCTTTGAATTGGTTATCTACATACTTTTTTTTTTCTCATGTGGCTGGAGACATGGCTCACTTTCTGCTCCCACAGAGGACTTAGTTTCTAGTGCCCATCATTTCTGGCAGCTCGCAATTGTCTGTAACTCCAGTTTCAAGCTATCTGGTGCTCTCTTCTGACCTCCCCTGGCCAGTCATCATGCACAGGTGTATACACATACAGGCAAAGTATCTATATACAAAAATAAAAACAAAAAACAAAACAACAAGAAAAAAAACTTACAATAATTTTTTTTATTGAAATTTGAAACAAGCTTGTTTCACATGTCAATCCCAGTTCCCTCACCCTCTCCTCCTCCCCTGAAGAAAAAAATCTTTAAAAACCATATTCCTTTCCTCTTGTGCCTAGGTCTGGAACATGCCTGAAGGAGACATTTAATACATGCTCTGAATGAAGAGTGAGGAGGGAGGTGACTTAGGACCTCATCTAGTCCTGTAATAAATGGGACACAAATGGAGGGGTAAACTAGTTACAGCAACTAATGAGAGTTATGCGCGCTGGTGCACGTGCATCTGAACCTGTGCACACCTGATTGAGAATGCTTGACTAGTACAACATTCATGAGTGTTTCCTATGGAAAGAATATCTTCATGGAGCCATGCCAAGAGCCCATGGTTCTAGAGGCTCAGAGTATCTAAGCTATATGAGAGGAGATCTGGTAAGAAGAAGAGTATTAAGACAACTACACAGCACTGAGCTGAGATACCACAAGATCTGCACAGCTGTCCACTTGCAACATAGTTGCTTATTAATCTGGAGTTGAAGGTTAGGCCAGCTTAGTCCCTGGTCACCAGGATAACAGGCCTGGCATTGAGAAGGCAACCACCAGAAGCTGGACTGGAGGGGAAGTTTCCTTCCCACCACCCCTTCGCTCCAAAGAAAACACTAGTAAGTCAATTGAGGATGAAAGTGGTGGGCCCTGGGTTTGGAGTCTGGCCTCTCAGCTTGAAGTTTGTAAGGTCCAGGCAAGGGTCTAGTGGGGTCAACAGGTCTATTTAGGCCTGTATCTCTCTCAGATCTGGGCTATCTGTGTTCTTCCTAGATCTACTTGACCATATGCAAACTAAAGGTCAGTCATTTTGTAAGGGAAAAATAGAAGCAAAAGGAGGGGTGGTGCCACCACATGTCCAATCTGTGTGTGACCATGAATGGTCTCCAGTGATTAGAGGACTGTAAAATAATACGTACAAAATCTCAACAAGGGAAAGATGGGGAAGGATGTGATCATGGGAGATGTCTTCAAGCTGGTCACCTCTTGCTGTGTCCTGGAAAAAGCAAAAGTTAAGGGAAGTGACAGAGCAGGTTAAGCAAGGGCAGGTGCAATAGTTGTTCAGCCAGGACCAAGGATACTGGGATTAGAGGTACGACAAAGCAGAGGGACAGCCCTGAGAGGCCGGTGGCTCAGAGTGAGACCTGGACAGCACAGAGAGTTCTGCTGGGAGAAGAAGCAGGTGGCGGTACCCCCAGTCCTCGGTGAGTAGGCATTGTAGGAGCCTGAGCTCTCCCTAGCAGAAATGGCCTTCTGGTAGGATCTCAAGCCAAGAGACATTTCCTGTGTAACGGATCCATGACCCAAGAAGGCCCCACTTTGAGCGTTGTCTGTCTCTCTCAAATGCCTGTCACAAACTAGAGATTTGTGCATGATGCCGACCAGATGGTGGGGAAATAACCACAAGTTTGAGAGTAGGTGAGGCATAAGCATATAAGATAGGCATTTTATTGAAATATGAGCCGTATCTGGCTGAGAAGTAGACATCATGGGCCCTTTGGTACATTCTCTATAGTCTAGTTTGAGGATCCTTGGGGAAGGGAAAATGTGGGGGACTGGAACTCCTGTGAAATAAAAAGGGAGACAAGAAACAGAGATCCAGGGTCTCTTGGGTACTGGGCATTCTATATTCCTGCCAGCATGGCTGGCTTAAAATTTTCAGTCTATAGGCTCTCAGGGTGAAGTGTGCTTCACCTCACCACAGGGACTCAGGGCCTCTTGGGAGAACAAGGCCCCTTTCTATTGCATCTTCCTTAGTTTTAACCCTGACCTGACTCTTATTTTTGCTTCAGGTGTGATCTACTTTCAGTAGGTCAAAGACAGGGGGTACGATATCCCTCATAGCTGCTGTCCTGAGCCCAGGGTGTGGGGTGCCATAACTAAGAACGAGCGCCGTGAACCAAATGTGCAATTCATCTCATTGACTTTCTCCCCTTTGAGGTAAGGGCCATGCTCCTGCTCCCATCACTCCCCATCCTTCTCCTGTGTGTGGTGGGCATATCGTCATCAAAGCCACAAACCTGTGAGGACACCCTGAAGACGTGTTCTGTAATAGCCTGTGGCAGAGATGGAAGAGATGGACCCAAAGGAGAGAAAGGAGAACCAGGTATGGGGTACTCTGTTCTGACTTTCTACACCTTTACCTTCAGCGGAAAACTGTCCTGTGTCCCTGGAGATGGAGCTCAGGGACCTTGGGAGACTTGGCTTTCACTGTGGCAGGTGTTCTTCCCTTCAGAATGGTCTCTACAGTATTACTAACCCCCAATCAACAGTGCCTAACAGCTCTCTTGAGTCTCAACACTTTCATACAGGGGTCTGTGCGGAGGCTTTGTCCCTCAGGACAGACAATCAGACCTGGGATGCAGAAAGATCTGTCTACTCTGAGTCACCAATCACTAGCTCTCTGGCTCTTTTCTGGAGCTGATGTGAATCAATCTTTGAACATCTGAGAGTGAATAACAGTCACCAGGTCTTGCTACCTTTATTTCCCAACAGGTCAAGGGCTCAGGGGCATGCAGGGCCCTCCAGGAAAATTGGGGCCTCCAGGAAATGTAGGAATTCCTGGACCTCCAGGAGCAAAAGGCCAAAAAGGGGATCATGGACACAGTGCAGGTAGGAGACTACTCCAGCATGATTAGCTTTGATGGAGGTGGTAGGTAGGAACAGAAGGCCATGTGGGAGCTGCCCCTGCCCGATGCCTCACTGGCTCAATGCTACAACCTGACTCAGTGTCCCTTGGGTCTTATTGGTACCAAGTACCCTCAAGGGGCCATTCCCCCATCAGTTCTCCCTATGACATGGGGTTAGCTTTTACTCTGATGAAAGTCCAGTGTGTTCTCTAGGCTATGTGGGAGAAAATGTGCCCCTCCCCCATGTCTACTGTCAGAAGAATTGTATGAAAGTTGTCAGAATGAGGAATACTACAGCAGCTGCTTCAGCGTGAAACAGAGCAACTTTGATGAGGACAAAAGGGAAACTGGCAGCTCTCCTGTTCATATTTGTCCACCAGTCTGTTAAAATAATTAAATAATTAAATAATTAAACCCAGTTTACCTGGGTTTGGGAGGTGCCACCATTGGTGAAATGCTTGACAAGCATGAGAATCTAAATCCAACCCCAAGCACCTATATTAAAAACAAAACAAAACAACAACAACAACTCACTCCTCCTGGCACAGGTTTGTAATCCCAGTGATGGGGAGGCAGAGATGGGCACATCCCTGGGGCTTGTTAGTCAGCTAGTCTGAGGTAGACCAGCTAGAGTGCTTGTCTCCAAAAGCGATGGCTCCTGAGGAATGATATCCCAGGTTGATCTCTGGCCTCTACACATATACACATACATACCAACACACACATGTGCACCTACACATGAACACATACATGTAAAGAACAGAGAGGTAATTCACCAGTAACGAAAAAGAATCACCAAGAAAAATCACAGATGTATGAGAAATTTTTACAAGTTGCTATAATACTAGAACATTAAGCACTCCATTTTTAAAAAAAGGGAGGAGAGCTATATTAACAGGCCATTAGGGTAACTATCTTACACCTGGGAAAGCAGCAATACTATTTTTTCCCATTTGCTTCTTTAGCATTCATGTTTTTCTGGAATACGCTTACTTTTTAGTGAGCCTTACCATTTGTGCATATAAAATATTCATGCACAGTGTGTGTGCACTCATGTGTGTGCAAGGACACATGTGAAGAATATACATATGTGTGTGCATGTGTGTGTGTAATCCAGAGGTCTTCTCACAGCCCTGGAACCTACCGAGTAGGCTAGGCTAGCTGGATAGCAAGCCCCGGGGATCCACCTGTCTGTACCTATCTATGTCCATCCAGCACTGGGATTTCGTGCCTAACTTTTATGTAGGTTCTGGGAATCAAACAGATCCTTGTATTTTCATGGTAATGGCATTGCCTACTGACTTTTCTTTTCAGACTATGAGCTTTTTATACCCCCTGCCTCAGTGTCTGAGTCTCCAGGTTAAAGACTTGTCACTAAGTATCCTTTTCCTGATGCTCTTGCAGCCCTTGAGGCAAAGGTCTCGAATTTGGAGGCAGAGATAAGGATGTTAAAATCTGAACTGGAGCACACCAAGAAGTGTAAGTTTTCCTTCAGCCCCCAGTTTTCCTACAGAGGAATGCAGAGTTGGGGGAGAGTGACAGACGGGTAACCCTTCCGAACACTTATTTTACCACAGGTCTGTGCAGGCATGGCTCTTGCCTGTAATATTTCATTACATTTCCTCACCAATTTTGGTTGTGATATTATGCTTGTCTTGGCACCAGGGAGGTTGCTCAGTGGGTAAAGGCATGTGCCACACAAGCCTGATGATTTGAATTCAGTTCCCAGAACCTAGGGTGGGAGAAGTTAATCAACTCCCAAAGGTTGTCTGTTCTCTGACCTTCACGTAAAAATACGGTATGCACATACACGGGTGGGGGGGGAGGGAGGCAACACATTTTTAAGAAAGATATTATACTTCAGGAAGTATAACAACTCACTCCATATCACACGGCTTGCAGACAGCAGCAAGAAGAAAGTGTTTTCTCCTACATCTTTGTGGCTTGCTCCCCACCCACTGTCCTTACCTATTGGTGCCTTTCCCTTATTCTGGTGTCTAAATGGGATGCCACCCTGTGTCACCTGTGCTGCTATCTGCCTTTGACTGGCAGTGGTGTTAATGCTGAGCTATCCCATGAGGGTCATGCTATTTTCAGGAGGTTGTGGAGCCCTTCCTTCCCTGGCTCTGTAGGTGTTCCTGGTCATAGGTTCTGGCTAGTGTCATTGGACCTGAGCCTTCTTTTTAGAGCCCTAGATTCTCAGAGATCCTGGCTGGGCTCCACACTGAGTGAACCTCATCTCTGATTTCAGTGCATGCCTTCTCAATGGGCAAAAAGTCTGGGAAGAAGCTCTTCGTGACCAACCGCGAAACTATGCCCTTTGCCAAAGTAAAGGCTCTGTGCACTGAGCTCCGAGGCACTGTGGCTGTTCCCAGGAATGCTGAGGAGAACCAGGCCATCCAAGAAGTGGCCAAAGGCAATGCCTACTTAGGCATCACTGACGAGGTGACTGAAGGCCAATTCATGTACGTGACAGGGGGGAAACTCACCTACAGCAAGTGGAAAAAGAATGAGCCCAATAACCATGGCTCAGGGGAGGACTGTGTCATCATGGTAGAGGGTGGGGTCTGGAATGACATATCCTGTCAAGCTTCCTTCATCGCTGTCTGCGAGTTCCCAGCCTGAGCAAGCTAGTGCCTCCATCTTCTCTTGGGCTGCTCTCTGAAGTCAGTTGCTTCCAAAGAAAATTCGGTACTTGTTTCCAAAGCTTAGTGTTAACTGTTCTTTCTGAGGGGAGTGGAGTTCATTGTGGTATGAGGACATAAGCAGATGCTTATGAACATGAGGCACCAGGGGCCAGACAAGCACAGAGCCAAGGTCACATCTGTTTTGTTCAGGGCACAGTGCTAAGTCAGAGTGAACTGTGGAAAACTACAGAAAATCCCTCCCTGTTGAAGGACCAAAGATGGACAGGACCATATCTGTGTCGTAGTGGTCACTGATCTCAGCCATCAAAACATGAAATTCCTTTTCCCCATGAATTGTCACTAAGTGGTACAAAACTTGCCTGTTTGAGTCCAGCCTCAGTCTCTAACGTGTTCTTGCCTCTTGTGTGATCCTTTACAGGGAGCTATATTTGGTGAAGAGTGGAAGACTAACACTTTTGGGTACTTCCTATACTCCAGGGACAGGCTAGCTAGGTCCTCTCTGTGAAAGCATTGTTACTTTTAGGGTTCATGTACCCTTTGTCTTTCTGGCCATAACAAGGGGAAACAGCCTATGTGATGACCACTGTCAGTCCTAAGAACATATTGCCAAGTAGCCGTGTCCTTTCTTTACTTGCTGTGCACCCAGAGAATGAACAGCAGCTCTTTCCCCGTACATCAGTGTATGGTACGAGTGTGCAACATGGAAGAAGGCACGGCCACTCAAGGGGTGCCCGTATCATCAATGTCCACTGCCCAGCATCCCTTTCCTTCACTGCTATACTTTCTCATTATGGATCAGTAGGCCCATTATCAGTGCATGGAGTGGGAAAACCCTAAAGTTATCTTCTTGATGCAAGGGTCAAATGATACCACGTCAGCAGCCAGCCACTGGACCTCCTTACCAAGCAACCCAAAGTTTCCCTCTATCCAGCATGGCCATGGGTTTTTGTTTTCCAGCTGTCTAAGGCTAGGTGGAGCTGAGATTCAATAGCAAAGTGTTGTGAGCCAGAAGAAGGCGAGTGCTGGCTCTTGCTGCTCGCCATTCACAACTGAGATGAGAAAATATTTCAAGAATGAGCTAAGAGTCACTCACACTTAGTGAGAAGTCTTTGTTCACGTCCATTTCTGTTTTACATCTCTTGGTTTCTGAAGTGCCAGGAAAAGCACTCTGCAGTCAATAAGTGCTTGGTGGATGATGGGTGTTTGTTCAATGGATGCAGCAAACATTCACAAATGGATGGCTAAGTTGACTGATCAGCACTCAATGTCAGGATGTGCTCCTTCCACCAAACTTTCCCAGCACCTGAGGGAACTAGGGTGAGACCTACGGAAGCCACCAGGGCTGGCAGAGTCCAGGTGGCAGGACCATGTGCCTTGGTTTCTAGGCCACCTCAACTGCCATGTTCCTGAAATTTCTTCAGACAACAAGCACCAGTGATGTGGCATAGCATGATTCTCTGCTTCATTTCAAATCCAGATGCTTAACCATAGGCGCTGGGGACTGCTAGGATTTAGAAGCACCTATGCAGGGTAAGTTGGACTCTTAAGTGTATATTACCCAGGAAACAGGGACTTCAGGTTTAAACTATGTCTGTCAGTTTCCTTCTGCACAAATGCAGACACTGCCACTGGGGACATGGCCTGCTTCATGTGACAAAGGGGAAACAGGTACTATAAGATGGAGATACTCAGGTTCCAGGTTCCAGTCCACATTCTGCTTCCTAGAACTGAGAGCCTGCTCAGCAGGACAATCTTTCTCTGGAGTCCCTCATCTCTGCTGCTGACACTCTGCTCCAGACAGAGGTGGGGACATAATGTTCAGCTGAAGGCTTATCACTCACACCAGGTAACCTCCTTCCTGTGTGTTGTTCAGGAAAACCACGTTCTCAGCGGCTCTCAGAGGTCAACCAGCACCAGGGCTCAGGTCACAGGCTTGACCTTCAGAGCCTCTGACTTACCCTGCTGTTTGCTCACTGTTATGTAAACGATCTGGACTTTGGTAATTGCCAGGAATTTGGGGTTTTTCCACACACACACACACACACACACACACACACACACACACACACACACACACACCATTAACTAGGAAAGGATCAGTTGCCATCTGAGGCCCAGGCTAGTGATGCCGGGAAGTGGGTTTTATCAAGCGATGTTACCCTGGAAACCCTGAGTGGCTGATGGATTACTGGGAAAATGAGAGGCATACCTTACAAGAGACCAACTGGGAAGCAATGACCTGTGTAAGGAGACAGTCCCTAAGTCAGAACCAATCTGGTCCTGGCAGATACAATTGCTGTGTTTAAAGAAATAGAATCCAGGTAGGCAAACTAAACACAAGCCTTGGACTAGGTTGGCCACTGGTAGCATGTGATGTAGCCTGTCTTGTCCTGGTAACTCACGGGCTTGTGGCTCTTCAGAGCAGTGGCTGTCATAATTGACTAGGATCACAACATTGTTTGAGGACTCTGGCCCTGTACTGGGCCCTGTTAAAAATCTTCAAAGTCTCTTGCCTTTGTGAGGTTCTCAAGTGATCTAGATGTTTGGTAAAATTTGGAAATCTCAGACCTAAGAAATAAGTCATTCTGGTGGCTTGTGTGCATCTCTCACCCATGCCAGGACAAAGGACTTCTTCATTCTGTGGAGGTCCCTCATGATGTAAAGGGGTTTCTGTTTTATTTATAATATCTGTCCATCAACAGTCTCTCCTAACCCGCCCCCACCCTACAACCAGCTGCTACTCCAAACCCATCCTGACATATCCCAAGCTCTTACCACCACCAGGACTTTATAGAATAGGGCTAAGACTGTAACAGCTATAATGAGTTTTCTGAATACGGGAGGAGCTGGATTCATGAGCCCTCACGAAGGTACTTGTGTGACCAGGGCTTATGCTGCTGTACATACCTTTGTGCATATGTAATTGTGTGTTGAGTGTGTATATGGCAACCAACAGACCCAAAGCTTGCTGTACTCTGTTGCCATCAATTCATCCCAGCCCTCTTCCATCCATGTCTAGGCCTACTCTGTCTACCCTTCTCTTTGCAATGTTCCCAAGGCTCTGGGTGAAGAGTATGCATGTTGGTCATGTGCAAACAGCCTACACATGGCCCTAAGTGTGTCTAGGAATTTGTGGAATCAGCAGTGACTGTCCGAACACTAGTATAATCGTATGAAAACTTAGATACTGCCAATATTGCCTTCATCCAATTCATTGGGCCCGTGAAGCTAAGGTGGCTGCAACCCCAGCCTTAAGGTCTTTTCCCTCTTATTTTTATTTTCCTCTCAATAACTGTAAATATTTGACATCACTTTGGCCATTTATTTGGTTTAAATTATAACAGCGTGACAGTTTCATTAGAAGTAAGGATCTTGTTGCCAGACTTCCAGGGTTCAATTCTGACTCCATTATGTTGCAGCTGTGTGATCCTTGTTATTATCACCTACAGTCTCTGTGCTTTTGTGTTCTTTTTAGTAAGGCTGGAATAACACTTGTACCCACCTCAGAAGACTATCACCAGGGACAGACAGGCTGTTATTTGTAAAGCAACTACAACATATGCTTGCAATAATACATACTAGCAGTAGCCCTGTCTCTGTGAGCTTTCCCAGTCTACACCACTCACCTCAGCAGACAGAGTGTTCAGAAAAGGGTAGGAGCTACTCATGAATAAATGAGTTCATGGATGAACAGAAGAGTGAATTAATATGAGTTCATCTCCAAGACGTGAGATCCAATTCATCTCCAGAGATTAACTCGGGGCTAGGCTTGATTCCAGAAAAGCAGTAAGCTCATTTTGGAAGATGGCTATGGGTGTAGTCTACTTTCCCAGCTAACCTATTTTCCTAGGTAGCTTAGTCAGCAGTGACCTCTGCTGGTTGTCTTAAAGGCAGGACCAGCAAGCTCAGAGTCTCACAAGCTGGAGGTGGGATCACAGTAGAGAGTCAGGTGCCCATTGGCTGTAACTTGGGGTCCTGTTGCTTTGTCTCCGCTGCCCTGCTTGGGGCACTCATTTGGATCATGTGCCCATCTTTCAGGCCACAGGTAGACATCTATTGGTGCCTCATATTGATGACACAGATCATCATGTCAAGGCTCTGCAGGAATACACTGTTCCTTGCATTAGTATATCATCCATTTCAAATCTAGAATATGAGCTCTTTAGAGAAGGATGCCTATGCCACCTTTACCATCTTTCCAGCCCACATTAAACAAATGTTTTTATTTAAATTTGAAAAAAGCTTGTTTTACATATCAATCTCAGTTCCTGTACCATCCTGTCCTCTCCTGTTCTCCCCACCAACCCCTATCCCATTCCCTTTCAGCTCCCCAGGGAGCAGACTTCCATGAGGAGTCTTCAAAGTCTGTCATATCATTGGGAGCAGGGCCTAGGTCCTCCCTCATGTGTCTAGGCTAAGGGAGTAACCCCCTGTGTGGAATGGGCTCCCAAAGTCCACTCATATACTAGGGATAAATACTAGTCCACTACCAGAGGCCCCATAGATTGCCCAGTCCACCCAACTAACACCACATTCAGGGAATCTGGGTCAGTGCTATGCTGGTTTCCCAGCTATCAGACTGGAATTCATGAGCTCCCCCTTGTACAGGTCAGCTATTTCTGTGGGTGTCTCTAGCCTGATCTTGACCCCTTTGCTCATTACTCCTCCCTGTCTGCAACTGGATTCCAACAGTTCGGCTCAGTATTAAGCTATGTCCTGCCCACATTTTTATGTTCAAGGTGACTTCATATTTCTTCAAGACAGGATGGCATTGCTGCTGTGTGGCTTCTGTGTCCAGTGGATTCCTTTTTTCTTTACATCAGCAGGGAAAACTAGGGGCTTTTCTCTGAAACAGGTCCCTTCTCAGGACACAACAAATCATTTACTTGTGACATTTGCAGTGACTCCACATAATCTCAGAAGTGAAGTGATGCTGTGCTAGGGACTCTCTACTTAGCCTGTTGGGGACTCATAATAGTGCACACTGGGATGGTGGACATATCTTCCATACCTCACCAGAAGAGGGCATTGTTGTGTCACCAGCTATAACTAGGCACTTCTGCACTGTCCTTGCTTTTGGTCTTATAGTCCAACTGGAAGAAGCACCAGAATTCTGTCAGAGGTCCTATGGAGTGTCTATCCTTGTCTCACTAATGAAATTCGAGGACCCTGCCCTTGTTAAATGTCTCTCAGACTGCTGAGTGGTGTCCTCTTAAGCCAAAGATGGTGGACATTAGCACATCTATCCCATTCCTTCCCTGTGTCCGTGACAGACACACTAACCAGCCACTTCCTACACCACCTAGCTAAGACTCTGGAAGGCATTTAATACTGTAATAATTACAAAGAGGCCCAGGTAGTATAGAGAAAAG